AAAACGGGCCACGTGGTAGATGCACTGGGCCAACACGGGGGCCATATTGGATTTTGACAGGGGCTATCGGAATGCGCACCATAACAAATGCAACATTTCGGGATGCGGTGGGAGATCCAGTTGCCAGCATTGGTTGCGAACATTGGGACCCCTGCGGCCATCCCCATTTTTGTCGTCGGGTAAAATTCTGGACTTTTGCAGTGTGGTCCAAGGGGTGCGGTGTGGAGCGCCAAGGTGCGGACTCGACCGTGCTATGCACCTGCGTCCTCCTTCGCCTCCGGTCTTCTTGACTCTGTCTTGACACCGGGCCCAGGTGAGGAGGCGGCGGCGGTGGAGGAGGAGGAGGAGGAGGAGGAGGAGGAGGAGGAGAGCGTATGGTAGGTGCTGTGCAAGTCTACTATTACTATAAAAATGCACGCACAAGTCACCGTTCCTGCTCTCATCTTGCTGTGGAGCACACGATGGACATCGTCAGACACGACGATCGGACTCACTGGGTGACTGGCTGGCAGACTGCAAGTCAGACTCAATGGTTCCTTCTTAATGTGACCTTTCTGCCACGCCCGCCCCCCCCGAGATCCCAGTCGCCCTCTGTGAAATCCCAGTACATGCTGTGGAGGCCAGGTTGTGTGTTGACACGCCCATCCAGACTATTTAACTTTATCAGTCACTGCGCCCGAGCCCACCTCCGGTCGTCTTGACATTGTCTTGCCACCGCGATCAGGTGGCTGAGGTAGAAATGTGCGATTGATTATGCGCAGGTCTAACCCACTATAAACTAATTCAGGCGTAAGTGACCGGTGCTGTGCCCACCTCGTGAGCACACGATGGACGTCGTCGCTCGCGAACTGTCCTGTTTAATAAATGTTGGCCACTTGAATTTGAAAGAGTAATACGTCTGAGTGATGTGCAGAGGCGTTCGCGGAGGGGATCCCATAGTTCACGGCCGTATCTACTGTGGCGAGAACATGGGAACTTTTATTATTTAAAACTGTGAGTAGGTTAGGCAAGCAGATTATTGAAAAGTTAAATTCTCTGACACTGCCGCTATAGTAGTAGTAGTAGTAGTAGTAGTAGTAGTAGTAGTAGTAGTAGTAATAGTAGTATTAGTAGTAGTAGTAGCAGTAGTAGTAGTAGTAGTAATAGTAGTAGTAGTAGTGGTAGTAGTAGTAGTAGTAGTAGTAGTAGTAGTAGTAGTAGTAGTAGTAGTAGTAGTAGTAGTAGTAGTAGTAGTAGTAGTGGTAATATGGCTGAATGAGGGCAAGATCTTAAAAACGTTGGGGATGAGGAATCTGACCCGCAGAACTGATCATGATCTAGGCAAGACGGTTTGCAAAGTACCTTTGCCAGTCCGCCGAGAATAGCGCTCATTCGAAACTGTTCTGAAGGCAAAGTCAGGTTGAGAATCCATGTTTAAAAAAGTTCGGTTTTGGAAAAGTTCCCTTTTTCCCGAATAATTTTGAGCCAAATCAGTCATTGCATTAGCGTTTAGCGACTTCAGTCGTCAATATGTTTACTTTCTGCGTAGAGAAAATCATATATTCTTCTCTGCCTCTAAGAAGATACCAAGTAGAGTTCATCAAAATTTGCAGTGGATGCAGACTGCGATGTATACGTCATGAGCAACATTAGTAGTCGGAGAGGTAAGATGCTGTTGTGACTGGACTTTGCACAGGCTCAAAGGATCTCGTGATGGAAAACTCCTTAAAACCTAAATATACCCTCTCATCGAGTACAAAATGCAAAGATGACGTGGTTTTCTACCGCATGAGCAAAAGGAAGCATAGTTTCTCATTTTTTTACAAAATATGTTTGAATTTATAAGTTCATCGAAAATCAATGTGAACAATGCACACTAATTTAGTGGTCATTTTTGTCAAGCGCAATTTTTACAGGATGACGAATAGTGGCACATTCTAAAACTAACATCCTGGCGAGCCCGCGTGATGATTAATATTACAACCGCACCCATGTAATCCTTCGTAATCGGTGGGCACACGGTGGACGTCACCGTTTGCGACGTTCGAAGCGTTATATTTATTAACGAGCCTATATCAGTGGGATCCCCAAACGTTTTTCGGCCTCAGTCAAGAGCCAATTGGTGGTGTCTAAACTGGAGGTCATAGTGCTTGCCGAAGTCGCTGTGGAAAGCTACTGTCTGCTGGATATTTTGTGCACCTTCCGGAACTTCCTTTTTGTCGCATGTCAGATTTGAGTATGATCATTGGGCGCAGGATTAGCAGGAAGAGGACTGAGGGGGTGATCTGGATTATAGTGAAGACTTACACTAACCTCATGGACCAAGAGCACCATGAATTTTGCGTGATAAGTGTATCAGAAGTAAAATTAGTCACCCCGTTTGGCAGACTGACAGCGACAAGTTGTGTTTATCCTTCAATTTCGGGAAGGTCAGAGAGAGAGAGAGAGGAACTGCTCTTTTTCTACATACTTTTGCTCTTGCCAAAACTTCAGGTCTTTCACTTAGATACATGTTTTTGCCCGTATAGATCTTATTCGAACACGGAAGCTGGTTGCCGCCTAACCGAAGAACATTACAACTTGTCACATACTTGTCGTCATCACGCATGCATCGGTCGGCCACTGTTTCCACAAACATTTCGAGATGTGATGGCGTACACGTCATCAGTCTGCGAACGAGAGTGACCCCGTGGTTCCATTTTTGCTGTTATGTAAACACGAACGTGCACTAGCTCAGGTGGTGATCGCACCCTATCCTGCGGTTGACATCCGCAGTCGGTGAGTAGAGCTGGTAATTACCGCATAAAGACAGGTGCGCGTGCGTCCAGTGACTGTGACGTCCATGCGGTTAGATGCGCCTGCTAGTTTTTAGTACTGGCAGAGGATTTGGCTGAGCGTACGCTTTCGGCAGTTGTCCATCGGGTCATTACAATCGCATAAATACCCAAGATGTTGGATAGGCAAGAATAGGATTAAGATGTGCGCCTTAGGGCACTTATCTTAATCATCATCATCATCATCATCATCATCATCATCATCATCATCATCATCATCATCATCATCATCATCATCATCATCATCATCATCATCATCATCATCATCATCATCATCATCATCATCATCATCATCATCATCATCATCATCCTCCTCACCCTCATCATCATCATCATCATCATCCTCCTCCTCCTCCTCATCATCATCATCATCATCATCATCATCACCACCATCATCATCATCATCATCCGTGAGCGAGGGGGGCAGGTAATCGGGAATGTAGTCGGACGACTGCTTGTCATGAATGTGGGTCGAGGTGTAAGATCGACAAAGATCAGCTTCACAGCTTAAAAATCAGGGAGACAGAACTAACAGGATGGTCTTTACTCAAGCCGGGAGCGCACAAGCAACCCAAAGGTCGGCGTCAACAAAAATTCCACTAGGTCGAGAGTCAGCCACTAATGTTGGTCGTTGGAGCGAGGTTGAGCTGCTTCTGAGTCATGCCCGGCCGTTACCAATGGGTGAAAACCGAAATGTCGATCGACGTCACAGTGTTGCCAAGCCGAGGGATGAGTCGCACGCCGCGCAAGCATTCTACTAACAAAGCGGTTCGCATGCTGTCGCTACACCAAATAGACTGCCAAAGGCGCATTACCGCAATGAGTGATTGGCAGTCCGTAGTCCTATACAACGCTTGGAAGGTTTGATCAGTGCACACACAATGATCTATGTTGACCAGACGTGTCAAAGTTGAGCTGGATGTGGTATGTGTTTCACTCATTTCCAGTTAGACGCAGGCAAAGGTGCTGGGTCGCCTGATCGATCTAGCTTGTGACGCAAGAAAACGTTAAGACCTGTATACAGTGCGTGACCTATCTCATGAAATCTGATAAAGGAATCTGATGGGAGAATTTTTGGACGCCTTTAACGTTGAGAATATTGTTCACTTATCCACTTCCTTCAGTAAAATGTCCTTTTCTTGTGCAGAATCTACACTCGGAATGTAGGCAGGTGTCAAACTGCCGTATATGAAATCACGTTAATTATTGAACGATATTTAGATGTAAACTTCACGAAAACATTGTTATCAGGCGTTATTTTATGTCTACTCTCACATTAACTATGTTTTTGGTATGAGAATACATTGTATACATTTAAAAACGAAGTTTACTAAATTAGAGCCATTTCGGACGTTTTCGGGATATTGCGCTTTTCAAAATAAATCAGAATTTCTAAACAACGCAACACTGCCTTTAATGTTTCTTTTATGCTTTTAATTCTTTTAAATTTGTACTCAATTAAAATAGACATTTGACCCATGAAATGGTGCTGGTTTGCGAGTGATTGGCAATCATTCGTAAATTTCGACACATTTCATGAGTTAACTCACTAGCTGTAAATGCTAACTTCTACAACATGTCCCTTGGGGCAGGAATGGAGACTTATGGGTCCAATAACCAACTGAGTCCAGTTCATATGCCATGCAGAGGCGGAGAAAGAAAGTTGTCTGATAAAGACTATTACAATATAAGGGGCACCTTTATATCTTTCTTTGGCCGCATATGAAAGACCAACAAAATCGAAGGCATATATCTTCGAAAAGAGGCGGTTCCGCCATCCATATACCAAAGCGTCGTCTGGAGCAGCTTATTCCGCTTGATTACTTGGAGTGACCTCTCAAATGACCCAGTTTTCCAGTAAATAATATAAGGATTGAATGCCTCCTACTTTTTTAAATAAGCCATATGGGTCGAACAACTACTTATCTGTCAGAACCTCTATGCCCTACCTCTAGGGCTGTCCAGGTTCGTCAATGGACACCGGTACCCCGTCAAATGGGAAAGAGGCTTCCGCAGAATGTGCGGGGCGGTAGTCCGACCGTCGTTTCCAAAGAAGTCTACCGTGTGTTCCACAGCAAGGTGAGGCAGGCGCGGTGACTTGCGCGTGATTCAGTTCATAGTGAATGTAAAATTGCGCTCCATCTACCCACTCTCTCCTTCCCATCTGGGCCCGGTGTCAAAACAGAGTCAAGAAGACCCGGGGTGAGGGAGGGCACAGGTGATTGGTACAGCCGGACCCGCGCCTAAGCGTACCACCATAGCCCCAGGTCCACAACAAACACTTGACCGGGATTTTAACCAATAACAGCACTGCAACCGGTCAGAGAGACAAAGAGGATGATTGGGCAGCCATGCTCACAACCTGTGTGCCCAGCGGGGACGCAGACGCATCTATCGCCAGAGAACCAGGTATCGGAGAACTCCCATCGCATACCAGTGTGCGAGAGCCATGGTTTGCAGATCCTGGCATAGCAGACACTTACAATCCTTGAGGCCCAGAAGGGTGTCCCGCAACCCTGCATTTGCCTGAGTCATCATCCTTCAAAGGCTGGGTAAGCAATCAGTCCTCGACTGACTAACATGCGTGACATCGAGAAGGAACCTTTGCAGCCTGACTCAGCCCACCGGTTCGCCAATCCACACAAACACACACAAACAGCGAGGCAGACTGCGTGGACTGAGTTGAGGCGTCAGTCAGCCGCCTTCCAAGACACAGCGCTTGGCGCACCGTTATACTCGCAGACTCGGATCTCACTTGCAGCAGAGGAGCCGTATGGTGGAGGAGCCGAGAAGAACACTTCCCACTTCAGTGAGAAGCGTCGACTGAGTGTTTGCGCTGTGCGGTAGTGGGTGATGCTGTTGTGTGGTGCAGGTATTGCTGGGGAAAGGTGTGATGATGTGATGTAGCCCGCAGTTTTCATGGATGCGCAGGCGGCCTATCAGGCCCATGCGGTGGCTGAATGTTCGGGGACAGTTTGGGCAGTTGAAGCGAATGCGTCTGGTGTATGTTGGTGCTCCAGGCACTTATTCGCCGGCCTCCGTGCGATGGATTCGCAAGTGACCGACCAGGCCGATGTGAGAGGTGAATGTACGGGGACAGCGTAGGCAGCATATGTTGGGAGTGTCAGAGTAGGCTAGACAAGTGACGTGCAGGGTACCGGCACAGCGATTAAAGCTAACGCGTTGGCACATACTCGTGACAACGCAGATTGTATATGCGACTCTGTCCCATGCGAACAAAGAAGTTTGCCTGATTTTTGTTGCTGCAGTGGCTAAAAATTTTCTCCAATATTTAACTCCGCCCCACTGGCCCAGGTCGTCCAAACGGCACCGCAGCCCTCCGATTTCCCCATCCTATTTTCTCCCTGTGCCGTAACTCAACAAAATGCCAGTCCCCCTACCCTCACAACTTTGCCAAACTTTCCCCTGTCCTACCTTACCGCTGCCAAAGCAACTCGTATATTAGTGTTTAGGTCCGATTATGTCTAGCTGGAAAAAGACATGTTGCTCAAACCGGCTTATCCAATATTTTACTGGGTTTGAATTAAGATAATCTTCAACGGAAGAAAATATAACACTGAAAAATGTCATGTGGGTGACTTTAATCCTTATACAAATTTGTAATCTGGCGTAAAGTCCCTCGCAAAGCCCGTTTTCTCGAATTCGTTGCAGTCTTCCATATGTTTCGGACATACGGATAGTATTACTATATCGAGTCTAGTTGCATGACTAATCGCACTTGGTGGAGTGTGCTGAGAGACTAGCATAAATTGTGATATGCGACATTACCATTTGGGTTTGCGTTACATTACTGAAAAATAAACAGCAGTTGACAGGACCGAGACATTGATACACCTTCGGTGACATTTGGGCCTTTGTCACTCCCATTTCGAACTAATTATATCTCAATAAGAAACTGATTTAACAGCTTTCAGAAACTCGATCTACACCAGGGGGCTTGAAAGTCAGATACGACATAAGGTAGCAATCTCGACGCCTTTTGCTGCTGTTATTGCAGATCCCTAAGGCATTCATCACTTCCAAGCTGCAGTACAGGTCCACAACCATTTTCTCTGAAGTCTGTTCGCCATAGCGAATGTGGCAGAGTTGAGCTTATCTGCGCCATTAACTTTCACCTCTTCTTTTCCTGACGAATGCCTATGGGGTACAGCAAGTCTGTAAAACGGCTGCTTTCAAATGGTCTGATGACATTTCTCGAAGGTTTACAATTTTCCGGTCCATCTTGCACGCACTCATTATAAACTTGTTTACTGTCGGGAGCAGAGTTCCTTTTGGTTCGTTATGTTACTCTTGGAAAAGCAGTCCGCCGCGCTAAATTTTAATGGACACTGACAGTCAAAATATGGTTGCGTTAAGGTGAACAGAATGAGGTTTCTCGGAAGTGGACCTTCAAAGAAACGGCAACCAGAAGGTGACTAGAGACTAGTGAAGAAGGACAACTGAAAATCAAAAGGGAGTACACATATCATGTACTTTAGTTAACACATGTTACAAAAGTGAACTTGGGGAAAACTCAAATTCAGAAATCAAAGACAAAATCACATAGGCATGAGTCAGAACTGTGTGGGTGGTTTAGTGGCAATCGAACACAAGTAACCTGCTATGCTGAGAGATTCCTATCATGAGGAGCAGACGGGGATCGGTATTGACCACCAAAATGACAGAAAACTGCTCAGCATCAGTCGCTTAAAGGCATCTTCGAGAGCATCCATTTTCACCTCAGTTGCCTCCGAAGAATCCTGAAGTCAAGTGACAGGAAAGGATTCCAGACAATGGTACCCCCCAAAGAATCCACGCCCTCAGCATCCATGCCATGTTGAGGCGGACACAGTTGTGAGGCTCCGATCACCTCGTGGGGATAAATGACAAGCATTTGCCGAACGGTTATTCTGCAGCAACAGAGCTGTGGGTGGCCGCAGAAAAGGCAAATCGAAGTGTCGCCACTAGTACGCCTTGAAAATTTACTTCAAACACCGATAGGTCAGCATAGGGACCTGGGAGGACCCTATTTGAAGATCGTAATGCATTGTCGTAAAAACGGTAGCGGTCATCTTCGAGGCTATTCGAATAGCCGCTGTCAAAGCAAAGAGAGTGAATGAGAAAGAGAGAGAGAGAGATTAACAGACAAGATTCAATGCCTGCGGACAAGGGAGGCAAGCGCCCAACCGCTATCATCATGTTACCCACTATCAGAGGACATTTCGGGCACGCATTGGCCTCGTCGGATATCTGCGGACCCAGTGCAATGACACCCCCACCAGCGTGTCTCTGGCATCACAACATAGCCGCTACTGATACGACTAATATCACCTGTGAGGACACACGCACACACATGTACTCAAAATATTTCTACCACTGTTTCTTCCATCAGCGACATGAACTTAATCTCAACTTGTTCTGCATTGTGATCGCACCTTCACATCATGCAATGGTGTGGTCCGTCACTAGCTAACCCATCGTACTGAGACCGGCGAATCAGTGCCAGGAGCCCCAACCTACAACCTTCATGCGCCTCACCCGTCCATAATGCTTCAGAACATTGAGACACAGCAATGGTCTTATCGTCCACATGCGCAGAAAAGACGGAGGAGTTCCCCCCAGAGTCACAACGACCGACGCCCGTCCTACGACCGAAAACCCCTCTAGCCCTGGCACAATAAATCTACTAGCGCCACCGCCACCAAAAGTGTCGCCAGCACCACTAGCCCAGTAGCCATAGTCCCATCCTGTTCTTACTGCCACCATATATTTGAGTCGAGGGACAGGATCGACGGTCACTTGCGAATCCATCGCAATGTGGCCGGAGAACCAGTACCAGCGGCCCAGACATACACCCACCCCGTCTCCCCTGCTCACACTGCTCCAGGGTTTTCAGTCATCTCATGTGTCCATCTAACTGTATGCATCTCCATGCCAATCTCTTGACCCAATTATCTCACCTGATCCTGCCTGCCCACACACGCATCCCTAAGCCACGTATTAACCGCCCTCTACACCACACGCCACAGACCGTAACAATCATATCGCTTAACGGCACCAAGCCTACGATCCGCTTCGCCGTCGCCGGTATAGCCGGCTGCTTGGAGTTTCGTTGTGTAGATCAAAACGGTGTCATTATAACTTGATGCAGTTTTTCTTTTTTTGCCCTCTTCGAGGTGCGCTGGACCGCGGCGAGGAGGCTCTAGGTTTATTTCCCTAATAAAGACGTTAGAAGATTAAAAGTTTCCAAAGTTCACCTGTCGGGTGACTGATCAGTGACTAAGAAAGAGGAATATAACTAGTAGGTGCAACCATAAGCGAACCACTTTTTTGTATCAGAGATATTCTTCTACTGTAAAATTACTTTGGGCTTTCTGGAGACTGTAGAGTCCGATGAGTTTCCTGGCGTCCTTGAAATGTCAGTGACTATGCTGTCGTTTTTAATGTTCTCGATTGGTTGTCAGCAATGACTACTTCTGTATCTTGAGCTCACCTAAACCTTAAAAATAACGCAGTTCTTGAAATCTTTTAAATAAATAATGATTGCTGGACGTTATTCCGATTGTAAATGAAGATCTCAATCATATGTGTAGGTTTCCCCAAACAGGAAGCCCACTCGCAGAAGAAAATGGAGTCCCAAGTCGAAATGCTATAGTGAATATGTTCCTGGTCGATTAAAAAAACATGGTCAAATAATTAATCCGTTTAAAAATTCTTTTATTGTGTTTGTTGATAATTGATGTCGACGTCCTTCATCACTCCTCGAAGGTGCGCCAAGGAAATAATTAAATCACTTTTCTGTTCAGGCACCTTTCTGAAGAAAACGAAAAAGATCATGCCCTCTTCATTTTGAAGGTATTTTTGTGGTCTTCGTTTAATCTTTGACTCCATTTTGCGATCAAGGATTCATTACACTTTCCAAACAAATACTGAAGTAGTTCGCAGAAGGTTAATGTTGTGTCCGTTTTGTTTCTAAATCACATCTTATCGGAAACATGATCGCACAAAACTATCTTGCTTTATATTTAGAAGTAAAAGGAATTTCTTGAATGTGAGCACTCTACGGTCACTTGTAGGACATGTGTATATCCGTTAGACTCACGGGAATGTAAAGACGAAAGCTTACTTGTAGGTCTTATTGCCGTTTTTAGAGCACGGGTCTTCACATCGTACCTCATCCGCTTTACGCAGACGGAAAAATCAAGTTTCAAGTTGGCATCGACAGTTTTGGTAAGCCTTTCTTGTCTGAATAGTTGTCATCGTCTACCTGCTTCCAAAACTGTGGTTTTGTTTATCAATAAAATAACTTGGAAACATCCTGTCCATGAGAAGGGACTTTTTCCCGGAACTCATTCAGTCAATAAGGAAGATGCTCAACGTTTGAGGTACCCCGGCTCGATCACCTAGATTTTGGTTATCATATTTCAGGAGTTACTTCTCCTAATTTGCGTGCCGTTGACAAACCTGGGAAGAAGCATGGCGTCCGCATATTTGAAAACATGTCAGTTTTCCTTGCGATACTTTGATGTCTACTGAGCATTCTTCATCGAGTAAGTGGACAACGCAACTCAGTGAAGGTAGAAATTCTGAGCATACGTTGAAGAAACAAAGATTGTCTTTGGATTATGGCTCCACTCTTGAATTTTCGAACTGGTCTGTCGTAGTTATGTATTCGTTTGAATGCGACCGCAGCTTCGATTGGAGGGTCTCCGAGTTTGCCACTATGGTGATCACCAAACGCTTGTGAGATTCCTCGAGGATTCACAGTCTAGAACCTACGGTACTAATTGTCCCGTTAATCTGCCACAAAGTCTGTGGTAACCTAAAAACCAAATTACTCAGGAAAGCGAAAAATACAACGCAAGTACTGAGCCATAACAGCAATCCCCCAATCAGTCATAAACGCGGTTACGTAAGGGTGTTATATCAGCATGCGGAACTCATTGCGGCAAACCGGAAGACAAGGTCGTTGAATTACAATATCTTCAACGGATCCCTACGGTCAATGGTTACACTCGCAGACGGAACAGGAAACCCAATCTAATCGGCCTTAAAGTTTGACGAGCTGTCTCATTCGTGAAGAAGGTCTCGGAGGCCGTTAGTCGCCTCCTAACACCACTTGGAATTTGAGTTGCACGCAGACTGGAGGCAACCATCAAACATCAAATCAGGAAGCCGAAAGACCACTGCCACGGCGAGAAATTTCTGAAATCGTTTAGCGGGTCTGATGCAACCGCGGGAAGAGAAATTACAGCAGACGTGTCATCTCATGAAGTGTTAGCCAAAATTCTGAAATGCGTTTTCGACTCGAAAATATTATTTAAGTAGGTTTGTAATATTAGTTACCAGGCAGCATAATCTCAAGATATTTCTGTCACAACAGGATGCCGGCTTTTGAATGAACATCCTTCCGAGCACCTGAAAAATTCACATTCTCCAAAAAATAACTTCTTAAGTAGCATGTATTTTCGTCGAATTTCGGTGCCCTTATACATTCAAAAATATTTCATAAAAACATGTACAGAAACATTCATTCTTTTCCTCACTTGGTGGCAAATTACGTCTTCTTAGAATTCTGTACCAGAATGAAGAGAATAATTCGGTTTCAAACAGTCTTCTATTATAGGATTTTCGAGACAGTGAAATGTCCGTTCATCAAACATCGTGTTTCAACATTTACTAATTGTGCTTGTAAAGTTTACTCTATAGTTCGAATGTACTGCAAAATTTTGTGAACGTCATACGGCGTTTTCTTAATTACGTGCAGAGAGGCATGATTTTCCGTATACGCAAAATGTATAGCTCGTAGTTTGGAAGCCCTGAATTCAAGTGTAACAGCAGGTCAGATTCAACATTATTCGGGCATTGAAAAAGTCCTCTAAAACCGTATTATGCTTTCCCTTCAAGGGCAAAATTTGAAAAGGATGCAATTTTCTGCCAAGTGAATAAAAGAACAAATGCTTTTTATGAATGTTCCCTATGAAATATATTTGAATGCATAAGGACATCGGAAGTCATTGGGAAAAATTCGTACTAATTAAGTAGTCATTTTTTCACAGTGCAGTTCTTGCGGGCAGACGGAAAGAAATTCTTTTCAAAGCCGTCATCATGGCTGTAATAAAATGCTTTTTGGATTATGCTGCACGGCAGTTAATATTCAAACTCTGCTTAAGTAATATTTTCGAGTCGAAAACGCATCTCAGAATTTCGCCTAACATTTCACGAGATAGTACGTCTACTGTATGTCGGAGAAACTGGAATACTGCTCCGGACGCGGGTGGCTGAGCACGCAACGGCCGTGAGGAGTAACGATGTCAGCCCCAAGGCGCGGCTCATTCAACGGGACCTGATCACACATTCAAGTTCGATGAGGGCGAAATTCTTGAGAGAGGGGACAGTCACATAAGCCCTGGACTGCTCGAGTCATGGTTTTCCGGTCCTCAGCTGAGTAACAAGCTCAGTGACCTCCCCCCCCCACGCACCTCCAAGCGTGATTGAATTCTGATAATTAGCGACTTGACTGCCCGTAATTAGGACAATATCACACCACGTGCAGCGACCTACGATGAACACGGGAGCCGATGATTTTGACAGGCATGTAGACGTATAGCACTTGCATACTACAGCACCTGACCCATTAAGTCATTATCGCAATTCCTTCAACGTTCTGCCATGTATTAAAAAACTGTCAGTTTCTATAGGCATGCAATGGCATAGCAACCACATCCTATAAATACCACAACACCTGCGCGACCCACTGCCCCTATCTGAGTTTGTCTCCGGTAATGGGTTCGAGTGAGAATCTGAAGCTTCAGGTTGATAAAGTTCTTGTTTCAGCGATCGGATCTCCTTCTTCTCAAGTAATTCGATCTTTGAAAGTTTCTAACTAATTACATCGGACGGACAAGATATGACTTTCAACTCTGCATGCCTAGTAATCGTATACTTAATCGTACACTCAAACCCTAACCGTAACCCGAAAACCTAAGCCTAAAGGCATAACCCTAACCCGAAAATCGGAAACCATTAACCGGTACCCTAATCCTAACCTCAGACGTAAAACACAAGCCACATGGGTCAGATGTGATTATGTAACACCACAAAATAGCACCAGTAAACAACCCTCCCCCCAGCCACCTGTTATACGGGGCCTGGCTACCAACTGCGATCTAGCCAAGACTGATAGCGCATCCTAATAGATGCGAAGTGTGTTTGGTTGTCTGTAACGACAAAGTTTAGCTCTTGATCTGAGTTGGGTCGACTTCACTCTTTTCTCCTTCCTCCATTTGCTGGTGGCCTGTCCGAGCCTGCCGACCGACTGATAATCAGATGGGGCGTACTTAACTCCAACTTTTTGTTTTATTGGCCTCGCCCGTCACTTACACAATCGAGCTCTTGTCGACGAGTGGGTGAATTGAAGTTAGCAAAGATGGCTTAGAACGAACGGATTTGGATACCCCTTTCATAGCAACCGGGTGATGTAGCGTTACGGTCAGCCGAATGATATAGGTCAGCATAGGTGACAGGCTGCACACGCTTTTCATGAGGTTCGTTTCATCTCCTAACCTCCTATTTCCTACTGGTGCTTACGTAGACAGAAACAGTGAAACGCGATGGGACGTGTAAAGTAAAGTAGGTCCACCTTTGATAAAGTTTCGAGCAGTGTGCATGTGTCCACTCAAAAAAGTTTTACACTATTCATTCAAGCCCTGGCTTTGGATCCGCCATGCTATAGCTTAGAAATCTTGCTAGTAACTGAGCTTAGGGCGTCTGCTGCAACACCAGCAAGTTTGTCTCCAACAGGCCTTTCTCGTTCCCCAAAATTAGTTGTTCCATTTCTCATTTCGTCTCTGCCCTAAGTCCTATTTCGTAAATCTTCGTAGAACTCCCCAACGTTTACCATTCATTTACTGGTAACATTCATTGCGATGGTTAAAAAGGTCAAAATTCGACCAGCAGAGCCTCAGACCTCGCCCGCCGACAGCTGGCAGACGCATAAACAATTCGGATCGATATGCGGCAAGTTTCAACTGGGCGTCACATAGCGAAAACATCTGAAATTTGTGCCACCATGCATTCAGTCAGCACAACCAAAAATCTTGCATAAACCTCAAAGCCTCATGCAAAGTTTTGCATTCAGCAGGGGAAGGTAATGTGTCCAGTAACTAGGAGATAGACAGTAACGACAGTTCGAACTGAATAGATGAAAAAGGAAACCTTAATATTGGGCAGATGGTGTAAGGCATACCCACGTACAGGACATTTTCCTGTATACTTCCCTCTCCGACTAACTTCGCTAACTTTCAGACTTCGATTAACTTTAGGAGACCCCGCTTAAATCAAGATATCGACGTGGTTCGCAGTGCGCCCGGCCCTGACCACTTACCAAACTCTCAGCTAATGACACTGATGATGGCGACAGTGCTGGTATCCATTTTTGGAATAATGACAGTAATAATAGCAACCTAAATGGTAGCGGTGCCATTAGCAATATCATTAATAGTAGTTGCGCTAGTGACGGTGATGGTAGTAGTGGTAGTAGTAGTAGTGATGGTGGTGGTAGTGGTGGTAGTAGTAGTAGTAGTAGTAGTAGTAGTAGTAGTAGTAGTAGTAGTAGTAGTAGTAGTAGTAATGGTGGTGGTGGTAGTAGTAGTATTAGTAGTAGTAGTAGTAGTAGTAGTAGTAGTAGTAGTAGTAGTAGTAGTAGTAGTAGTAGTAGTAGTAGTAGTAGTCATGCCAACACTGCTATCGGTGTTGATGTCGAATGAAATCCGTCACCATGGTTGGCCAAAGTTTGGGTGGGCGTCGGACATGGGATACTGGTATATGAGCGGGATTATGGGAGACAGCGAAGTTATGCAAGAGGTAACAGGAAGCAGTCTGAACGGATTCAGGTTCAGCAGCTGCTAAATGGAATGCCCCGCATTGGAGTTAGAGACGCCGCCGGTGCCAGTGAAACGATGTGATATATTTGTTGTTGGGAGTGAGTCCTGCGGTCTGAATGCTTGGCTCTATGGGATAACATGAAAATCGGAGAAGATTTTGCTTTTTGACGAATGCACAGAAATCGACAGTACGCTTTGTGCAGACAATAAAGGTGTCATGGGCACTTCTCAATTAAGTGGGAAGTGTGATATTCGGCTCCTACCCCATGTGGTTATCCGTTACATTTGAGATCTGAGCAGTTTACTCCTTCCGCGAAATCCTGATTTTTACGTATGATGTCTGGGGTGTGTGTGGCACGCGCAGACGGGATATTCTTAGATCGCACAGTCATCCTTCCCAATCCCGGGCATCAGTTGGCTGACCGGCTGGGACGGTCGATTGGTGCATGGGAAAGGGAAGAACGAGTGAGGCTGACACTTTGCACAAAATTTCTCACTATATACAATCCGACGCTCTTGGGACAATCACGGTGCGCTAAAAGCCGTGGCTTGGAAGGCTATCGCCTGAAGATTCCACCCAGACCACTCAGTCAGCCCAGTGTGTGTCTGTGCACTTGGTTGTCTACTGTTCGACTGGGAGCCGGACTGCGATGGATCCTTCTTAATGGCGCTCTCACACATGTGAGATCCGAACCCCCGACACCCTTCTGTGAGTAGTCCTGGTATGTGCATTTGGAGGCAAGGTCGTGCAGGTGGCGCGCGCAGACCAGCTCTCTAGCCCTTTCAGTCACTGCGTCCACTCCCCGCATCAGTCATCTGACCGGCTCTGACAGTGAACTGCTACCTGGGATTAGGAAGAGAGGGTGAGGTCGACGATCTCAGTGCATATCCTTCACTTCAAATAATTTGACGGGCTTGAATCTAGCACGGTGCTATAAGAGCACTGGTTTGGAAGGCAACCAGTTGAAGGGATAACTTATAAATCTTTATTGGCCTGGTGTTTCGGATTCTCGCTCCAACCCCTCATTAGAGACAGTCGGGACTGTCTCATAGAAGGTGCAACAGTCTGTAAAAGGATAGTCTCTCATTGACCTTCCCGAAATTGAGGGATAAGCACGACTTGTCGCCGTTAGTCTGCCAAACGGGGTGACTAATTTTACTTCTGACACCTTTATCACGCAAAATTCATGACGCTCATTTAATACGTGAAGCTAGCGATTATTTTACTTCCCGCACTCAAATTGTCCAATCTGGCAGGCGGTCTTTTCCAAGGACTGCGGAGTTCTTCAAGGTTCCATTCTGTTCCCTCACCTTTTCTTCCTCCACACCGAGGATCTAAGATCCCCTAGCGACGGTCTTTTGGTTAAGTATGCTGATGTTGTGGTTGTTGGACACCTTCTCAAAAACCAGACACACCTCCTGTCTCTAAAGGATGGCCTTAGCCATGTCCTAGAATGGTCGGCGGAAAATGGTCTCCTAATGAACAATCAAAAGTCGGTTCAGTGTATTTTCCGACAACGGCCCTCTCCTAGTCCTTCCTATCGAGGTATCCTCTTTCTGGTACCTTGGCGTCACTTTGTCATCAAATCTTTCATATCGGCACTTCGAGATTCTGTGTTGTCATTCCGGGCACGCTATCTAACGTGTGAAGGGATAGAAATACAGAAGAGGAGACTTGGACTGTCCCCATAATAATCGTTGATTTGTGTTAAACTTTTGACTCCGGAATAATCTATTAACTTGTCTACTGTCCATAGTGAATTATGCCAATTTTTTGCTGAAAATTTTGAATTTGTGACTTCAAAATAAAGCGAATTTTTCTCTTAAGTGTAAGCCTATACTATAATCCAGACCACCCTCCCTCTTCCTCCTCCTGCTAATCCTGCGCCCAGCGAGCATACTCAAAACTGACATGCGACAAAAAGGAAGTTCCGGAAGGTTCACAAGATATCTGAGAGACAGTAGCTTTCCACAGCGACTTCAGCAAGCACCATGACCTCCAGTTTAGACACCACCAATTGGCTCTTGACTGAGGCCGAAAAACGACTGGGCATCCCACTGATGTACTCACGTTGAACGTCGCAAACGGTGACGTCCACGGTGTTCCCACCGATTAGGAAGGATGACATAGGTGGGTTTGTAATATTAATCATCAGGCGGACTCGCCAGGATGTTAGTTTTTGAATGTGCCACTTTTCGTCATCCTGTAAAAATTGCGCTTGACAAAAATGACCACTAAAGTAGTGTGCACTGTTCACATTGACTTTCGATAACCTTATAAATTCAAACATATTTTGTAAAAAATGCACAAGGTATGCTTTCTTTTGCTCAGTTGGTAGAAAACAACGTCTTATTTGCATTTTGTACTCGAAGAGAGGGTATATTTGGGTTTTAAAAGTTTTCCATCACGAAATTCTTTAAGATTGTGCAAAGTCCATTCATACAGCATCTTACCTCTCCGACTATTAATGTTGCTCATGATGTATACATCGCAGTCTGCATCCACTGCAAATTTTTATTAACGCTACTTGATATCTTCTTAGAGGCATAGAAGAATATATGATTTTCTCTACGCAGAAAGTAAACATATTGACGACTGAAGTCGCTAAACGCTAATGCAACGACTGATCTGGCTCAAAATTATTCGGAAAAAAGGAAACTTTCCAAAACTTAACTTTTTTAAACATGGATTCTCAACCTGACTTTGCCTTCAGAACAGTTTCGAATGAGCGCTATTCTCAGCGGACTGGCAAAGGTACTTTGCAAACCGTCTTGCCTAGATCATGACCAGTTCCGCGACTCAGATTCCTCACCCCCAACGTTTTTAAGATCTTGCCCTCCTTCAGCCATATTACTACTACTACTACTACTACTACTACTACTACTACTACTACTACTACTACTACTACTACTATAACTACTACTACTACTAATACTACTACTACTGTAGCGCCAGTGCCAGAACAGTTGACTTTTCAAGAATCTGGTTGCACAACTCTCTCACACTTTTGCATAATAAAAATTTCCGTGTCCTGGCCACAGTGGATACGGTCGTGAACTATAGGATCCCCTCCGCGAACGTCCCTGCACATAACGCAAACGTATTACTCTTCCAAATCCAAGTGACCGACCTTTATTAAACAGGACAGTTCGCGAGCGACGACGCAGTGACTGATAAAGTTAAAGAATCTGGATAGGCGTGCCAACACACGACCTGGTCTCCACAGCATGTACTGAGCTTTCACAGATGACGGTTCGGATCTCGGGTGTGTGGAGGTGGTAGAAAGGTCACATTAAGAAGGAACCATTGATTCTGACTTGCAGTCTGCCAGCCAGTCACCCAGTGAGTCCGATCGTCGTGTCCGACGATGCCCATCGTGTGCTCCACAGCAAGATGAGAGCAGGAACAGTGACTTGTGCGTGCATTTTTTATAGTGATAGTAGACTTGCACAGCACCTACCGTACGCTCTCCTCCTCCTCCTCCTCCTCCTCCTCCTCCTCCTCCTCCTCCGCCGCCGCCTCCGCCTCCTCACCTGGGCCCGGTGTCAAGACAGAGTCATGAAGTCCGGAGGCGAGGGAGGACGCAGGTGCATAGCACGGTCGAGTCCGCACCTTGGCGCTCCACTCCGCACCCCTTGGACCACACTGCAAAAGACCAGAATTTTAACCGACGACAAAAATGGGGAGGGCCGCAGAGGTCCCAATGTTCGCGACCAATGCTGGCAACTGGATCTGCCACCGCATCCCGAAATGTTGCATTTGTTATGGTGCGCATTCCGATAGCCCCTGTCAGAATCCAATATGGTCCCTGTGTTGGCCCAGAGCATCTACCACGTGGCCCGTTTTTTTTGGCGGGAGAGCACACACATTACTGACTGCCCGGACCGAGTTATAACGTCAGACGGCAAACTTCCAAGCCACGATATTTAGCCTGTTGTGATAGCTTCAATGAAGTCAGGCTGATTATAGTGAGGAATGCGATGATCTGCCATTGGAATGGATTCCCCAGTGTCGATATCTCTCTGTCTCTGTCTCTCTCTCTCTCTCTCTCTCCTATGCACTAGCCGACTGCCCGAACCAGTCAAACAGATGGTGACAGGATCGGGCACAGTGACTGACGGAGCTACGACAGCCAGTCTATATACTACGTGACCGACACTTCATTTACTAGGCTACATTAAAGAGCCTACTTCACACATATGTGAGGTGTGCAAGTCCTGACATGGGGCGTTATGTCGGCCACATCGGTGATGGCAAAGCGGGTCACTCATTTGCTGTCCAACAGAGTTATGATTGCTATGGTCTGCAGTGCGTGGTGTGGATGAGGCTCATATGTAATCCAGATATTTGTGGGTGTCTATGCGCGTGTGTGTTGCAAGATAGGGTAAAAGTGTGCTGATGTGGTCCGGAGTGCGGTCTAATAGCAGATTTGCATGGAGGAGCATACGACCGAATAGACCCATGCAATGATCGATTGTCCTCGGGCAGTGAAGGAAATGGGCGTGTATTGGGGCTCCTGGCAGTGTTTCGCCGGTCTCGCTACGATGGATTCGCAAGTGACTGACCAGGTCAATGCCTGATGTGAAGGAGCGATCGAAATGCGGGAAATGACGAGATGAAGTCCACATTTCTGGCTGTAGGGTGAGTAGTGATAATGTTTGGGAGAATGATATGCGACTTCGCATTGGTGAGGATTGTGGTAGATGTATTAATGGTTGTGTTGCTACCTGCATGGTGAACTGATCGATTTGAAATTGCAGTGGGTTTACAGGTGTCCGACGAGGTCGATCCGTGCTCGAAATGTGCCTTGACAGTGTGAACACGAAGTCAGGCGTTGAGTGCTTGCCTTCGTGGTCCGTAGCACCTGGGTCTTCCCTCTCCCTCCCTCCCTCCTTCCCTCCCTCTCTCTATCTATCTCTCTCTGTTTTGACAGCAGCAATTCGACCGGCTTCGAAGATTACTGCTGCAGTTTCTGCGGCAGTGCACCACGAATGCTGATATTTAACAAGGTCTTCTCAGATCTCTGGGTTGATTTGTCAGTGTTTGAGGTAGGTCATCAATGTGTCCTTGTAGCAACGCTCCTATCTGCCTCTTCTACGATTACTAACAGATATGTCGCCGTGAAATAAACGTTTGGCAAATGCTCGTCACTCACTCTCACGGGGTAACCACTTCATCACAACTCAATCAGTCACAACATGACATGGATACCGGGACGTGGTTGTTTCCACGATGTCAGTGTCGGGGGATCCTATTTCTGTCACTTTGACCTCAGGATTCTTGGGGTGTAACTGGAGGCGAAATGGTTTAATTTTCTTCCTTTACTTTCATAAACAGTCCTGGTCTCCTCTCCATACGATGACGTTGTCAGACAACAGCTCTGCAGTTATGAGTTTTGTGTTGAATAGAATGCCGGGACGATTCCAGACGGAGTGCAGAATGTCTGTTAGCTTTGTGAGCGCATGGAAGTGGATAGGTGCTTGAGTCGTTGGCCCACGATGCTTGAGGCTTGCAAACCGCTATTTTTGCATTGACGGTGGCTGTCTGGTTGGCTTCGATGATTGCTGCTCCAGTCTTCACTGCTCCTCTCCAGATCTTCCGATCATGGGCGAGGTCCACTCGGGTCTCAGGGTTGAATTGAAGATGCTTTCGGGAGGTCTTCAATGGTCCCTTATAGTGACGCCTTGGTTTGCCTTATTCACGAGCATCAATAGCTATGTTGCTAATAGAATAGTCGCTTGGACAGGCGCTCGTCGTTCAGCCTCGCGACGTTGGAACTTCATCGTCGTTGGGTTCGGCTGAGCACGGCGTGGATCCTGAGGACTGCGGTCCGCATCAACACTTTCTGTCGGGAATTCTGTTTTGTCGCCTCAGCTTTGATATTTTCCGGGGGGCAACTGAGGTGGAAATGATTGAGCTTCCCTTTGTTTTGTCTGCGTAGACTGTCCAGGTCGGTCTCCATGCAGTAGTTTTGCCAGGACTTATACATCCTGAGTTTTGTATTGGGATGAAGTCTGCGGCGATTCCAGACGGAGCTATGCAGCTGGCCGAAGGCTTGGTTGAATTTGGAGTTCTAGTGAGCGATTTCTTCGTTGATATTCACATTTTTTGAAGTGCTACTTCCTAGCTAAAGCGAATTTGTTCAGTGTTGTGGATTAAGTTTCATTGACATTGATGTTGTGTTCATTGTGCCGATGCCGTGAGGACCCAATACTCACTCCCAGACAGAATGGTCTGTTCTTTGGCTGATGCTGAATTCAGCAAAGTTATTCAGTTTGTCTGCGTTCAGCGGATTTGCCGGTAGTGCGTGTTGGTCTTCGTAGAACTTGTCCTTTACGTCGTCTGGACTGGTCAATGCGAGGCCCTAGGGACTGACGACGGTGGCAAATTTTCTTCACCAAAGAGGTAGGCGCAAACTCATGAGGCGGTCGTTGAGGCCGACAGGGGTAGTAGTCCTACGATATCCTTCTCGCTCAGCATTTGGGCGTCCGCACCAGAAGAACGTTTGGCCTGCACCTTCCTCCTCCAGGGGACCCTGTTCGGAGAACTGGATATCGTTGAGAACCACGAGGCCCTACTTGCAGCACACCAGTTCTTGGGCGATTGTCATTCTTCTTCTTTCAGGTCGGTTGGTCACTGAGAAGACAACGAACATTTCAGGCATCCATAATGGGCGCGGTAATTAGAGCGGCTTAGATGGCGGAAGGGGACGTTTGGTTTTGCATTGTGTTTCGATGGGGAGTCTTACGTCAAAAAGTCAAGGTCAGCTTGCGGACAGCGTAATTTCGCAGCATCTTCTGGGCACGTTCTCTACCCCTCTCTAGAAGTGAGCAGGCAGTGAATCCGTAGATGGGGCTGTTGAGTCATCCCAGGCGGCTGTTGAATTCCACTATTTATCGCGGTTTTGATTAATGAGAAGACTACCCGAATTAGCCTGAACAGTCTACGAGACTGCTTGCCGCCATCTCTATAGGACTTTTAAGGAGTGGAGTGAGGGTAGAATTGGAAAGAAAATAGGATTACCAGGAGTGTGGAAACAAACACTCTCTCCACGGATACCCTGAGTTCCTGTGTTTGCGATTAGCCCGTCATTTAAACTTAAACTGATTATTCCACAGTCTTTAAAACGCCCCCCCCCCCCAAAAAAAAAGCTTCTAGATAAGGTGAACATAGTGGTAAGAGTGTGTTAATGTCCATGGAAATATTTGAAATGTTGTATGCCTTTTCATATGTGCATCATTCTAAAATGACTGACCGGAATCCTCATTTTCGGCACACTAGTGAAAAGGGGGTATGCCTTATTAAGCGTGTTTATACACAGAGGGAATGCGGGTTGCCCGTTACCCTAGCTGCCGGTTACCCGGTGCGTCCACGGGTGGCGGATAATGGGACGGACTTCAGTGAAGGTTGGCTGCGCGATATGCAGATCCAGGTCGGACGAATAAGCAGTCGCGGACCAGCAGCGACAGTGCTACGGGGGTGCAGATGGCTGAGGTCTGGCACGCTGAAAGCCTCAAAGCCCGATGACGGCACTGTGACATGGCGACCGTGAACCACCACTAAATAAGTTTGCTCGCCGCTGCTGCCTTGTGGTTAGGCTTTTAAGTCAACGAGCTTGAAGAGACAACCTCGAACAAACAATCTAAGCGGCTGTTGGGGACCCGCCTGTATCCGAACTCCCCAAGAAACCTCATGAAATATTCCCGACTACAGTATTACAACCCATGCTACAGCGTCCGCGGGTACAGACGCGTTCCACCACCGGGGTCCAGTGGTGCGGGTGAATAATATGCGAGCCAGACTACACAATCGGGGACGGACTCTTGGTATTTGGATGCTGGAGTGTGCGAACGTTTTTTGTTGAATAGGTTGCCGCGGCATTTCCAGACAGAGTGATTCGGCCGGTCGAATACCCGGCTGGTTTTGGAGTCCTGACTTGCGATTCCGTCGTCGATTTTAGCATTTATCTAAATCGTGCTCCCGAAGAACGTGAGCTCCGCTGACGCCGATACTGGGATCGGTGTAGTAAGCATTTATTGCCAGTTAGTGTGGGGCCGCTGTCTTCTTCATGGTCAGGCCGGAATTGGATCAGCCGTAGGTAAAATTATTCACATTTCGCTGCATGCTCTCTTCCGCTGTGGTTTCTACCGCACAGTCATCTGTGAACAACAGGTCGTGAACGCTGACTTCTGATAACCTCGAATATGATTTCAGATGACGGTTATTGAGCAGGAGTATCTACCAGAAAGCAGACAGGAAATGCTGGGAGAACCGCTGACGAGCCGAACCCCTCGCAGCTGTGTCATGCAACGACAGAATATTGGCAAAACGCGTGTGTATGGGCTTTGGCTACTACCTGTGCTGTTAGTGTGGAATTAGTAGTAGTAGCAGCAGCAGCAGCAGCAGCAGCAGCAGCAGCAGCAGCAGCAGCAACAGCAGCAGCAGCAGTAGTAGTAGTAGTAGTAGTGGTGGTGGTGGTGGTGGTGGTGGTGGTGGTGGTGGTGGTGGTGGTGGTGGTGGTGGTAATAGCTCTACTAGTCCCTAGCAAAAGGAAAAGAGATCGAGTTATCGGCCATTTTCCAGTTAAACCCTTCGCTTCGATTACCCGAGACCCAACAGGATACCACAACTCAGCCCCGGGGAAATCTTGCCGATCAAACTCTATCTGCTCAGCCGCCGTCTCTCCATCGCCCCACCGTCGCCAACGCCCCTCAAGAGCACCGAGTTGGTCCCCCTGCCCGTGTTCCGGCCCCACAGTCATCCGCCAATCAGCGTGCTGCCGCTGTTGCTTTAGCGCCCGCTCCGCCTGAGACTTCCCGTCCCGTCTCACGTCTCGTAGGCCCCTCAGTGGCTGTTTCTTCGAGGCCTAATCCCCTAGGAATCCGCGGTCGTAGCGGTGGCAACGCCCAGTCTGCCAACACGCCTACACCGGCAGCCGCTGTCCCCACTCCTGCTACAGCTACAACGACAGATGAACGACCGGCCCAGTCCAGGGTTGGTGTTGCCCCAGTGCCCACGACTGGCTGTGCCAGTGACGTCACCACCTCGTCGTCTTTCACATCCACCGACGCACGTGAGACTCGTTGCCTTATTTCCCGACAGGGCTTATGAGCCACACTTTTCAGATTAAGTCACCAGATTGAAATATTTTTAAAGCGTTCCGTTGTTGCACTCGACATCACGTTGTTTCACGTTGTCCATCTTCTCTCCGAATCCTCCGCATTTCAGCGGGACTTTAAATATCCTATCAGCCTGTGGATCAATCCCACACTGGAGTCGGTAGTGGTCCAGCGCCACGTCTCTACAACTCAATCACCCACCCACCGATTTCACGCGGTCCACGCCTTAAAGGGCATTTAGAACGCTCTTCTGTGGTGTCATTGTCTCCTGTCCGTCTCACAGCCAACACGTTCCAGGTTCGGCGTCATTACGCGTCGACGTCAGTTCACTAGGCCAGGCAATTAAACGACTGTTAGACGCGATGCAACACTTGCCCTTAAATCTCGATCCTACTTTCTTATCGCCGTGAGCGGGATAAGAATGACGATAAATCATACATTTAAACAGACGTGCTGCCATATGGGAGTGTTTACTTAGCAAGATTGCGATGCCGAAGGACATGGAGTAGGACAGGGTTTATTCATACACAGCGGCACTTTGTTGGCAAGTTTCATGACCGTCTTCCAGCAATCACAATCTCGGTCAGTGATTCCCAAACAATATTGTAGTTGCCAAGAGAAGGTGCAAAAACAAAAGATTTAAATAACTCCTGAAACACTGTATAAACGATCGCATGTGATACAACATGGGAAACGTGTGTATGCTCCCTCTGCTTGAAATACACTGCCGAGTATCATATTTTTTAATTTCTAAGTTTTGCGTTATATTTTTTCGCACTATCTCATGCTCATATCTTAAGGCATTTGTATTGTCAGGGTTTACTTTTTGTTCTTTAAGAGCCTTCAGTGTAGCGCAGGAAAGTTCGCACACCGAAGGTGGTGTTGAGATAAGAAAAGTGGAAACAACAGGTCTAGGAAACATTGCTTCGTGCATCTGGCCTGGGGCGCCTTTTTACACTGGTCAGATGAGTGAACTCAACTTCTGTAATTACGTGACCAGTCGTAGGCGCTGTGATAATCAGCACGAATAACTGCGTCGACCTGATCATGAGGCCTTCAATCTAAGCGATCACCGAAGTGCGACTACTACGCACGACACGTCCTCATGTTGCGACAGATGATAACCGTTCGCGGGCTGTGAGCACTGAAATGACCACCTAGTTCGGCTGGCCATTGTATGCTGCTGTTAATTCACTAAAATAGCAACCTTGTCCTGGACGCCCGTCGTAAACTCTCTGGCATACGCAGGCCAGAGGCAAGATGGCAAAACGCTGCTATTGGCCAGGTTTTGGACATTTCAGTCTGAAAAGAGACTCGATCGCTGCTGCAGGAGTGTCGTTAGACTGACGCTTCGTATTCACCCTCGTACCCATCGTCATCGATGCCGAGATCATTGCAGGAGGTAACAGCCGCTTGAGTCGCGGGTTGCTTGAGTCATCGTTCTCCGGCCTGCAGATTGCCAATCAATCGCAAACCGACACCAATGCGTGGACCAAATATCTCTGTTAATAAAGCACAACTTTAAAAGAATTAGAAACGTTAAAGAAGTATTGAAGGCAATGTTACGTTGTTTAGAAATGCCCAATCTCTTTAAAACTGCGCCAAGTCCCGAAAGCGTCAATAATGGTTGTAATTTAGTAAACTTCGTTTTTACATGTACAGACTATCCCGACACGTCAAGTGTCGTGGATAGGAAGGTTGCTGACTGACGCCCGTTATCGGTTCACGCAGTTCGTCACGTTGTGTGTGTGTGTTGTGTAGTGTCGGACTGGTGGGCTGGAGACGGGCTGAAGCAGCACCTTCCACGGCACTCTCACGCATGTGAGAGACACGCCGTTCAACCCCCGTTGTGTGAAATCCTGGTGTTTGTGTGTATGGGGGGCCAGGTCGTGCTGTGGCGCGCGCAGGCATGGTCAGTCGACCATGTCAGCCACCGCGCCCATTCCCCACTCCAGTCTACTGACCGGCTCGGACAGTGGCTGGGGTGTGGGAATGGGAAGGGAGAGTGAGGTCGACGACTCAGCGCATTTTCCTCACTATAATCAATCTGACGCGCTTGAAGCTATCACGGTGCGCTAAAAGCCGTGGCTTGGAAGGTTGCCAACTGACGGGGTACCTTGGACCTCCTCCATTACTGGAGGCGGTCTGAGAGTCAGGCTGCAATGGCTCCTTTTTAATGTGACCTTTATGGCATTCCCACCACAGTGTGGGATCCGAGCCAGGCGTTTGCGGCACGCCCAGGTGCGGCTTCGGCCGTGCCAGCCTCCAAATCTATGTTGTGTTGGTTCAAATCCTGGTTATTGTTGTGTGGACCAGGGGGTGTGGTGGAACGCCAAGGTGAGGATCCGTCCGAGCCATCCACCTGCGGCCTCCCTCGTCTCCGGTCTTCTTGACTCTGTCTTGACACCGGGCCCAGGCGGGGGAGGAGGAGAGAGTGTAGGTAGATGCTACGCAAGTCTACTGGCACTATAAACCCCTGCGTAAGTCACCGTCCCTGCTCCCACCGCTGCTGCAGCTGTGGGGCACACGGTGGACATCGTCGAAATCGACGGTCGAACTGTCACTAGTCCCTAGGGTGTACTGCCGTTTAAAATTTAAACGACCTGCTTGTCGGTTCTTTCGGGAAATTGAGTTTTTTTCTAACCAGGGCATGTTTTTACGAGGGGCTACCATAATAATTTCGCCGCCTCTTCGTTTATCACGGCTTCCCGGGTTTAGTGATCCATGCGTTGATGATGATAATGGTGAGAAGAAAAAGCAGAAGAAGAAGAAGAAGAAGAAGAAGAAGAAGAAGAAGAAGATGATGATGATGATGATGATGATGATGATGATGATCTCTACCCATAAGTAGTCTGGCAGTCCATGAGCCCGTGTTATTGATTTTCCTTGGGACGTTTGTTTCCTATCTGCTAGGTCCCACTTCTGTTCGCTCCAGTGTTCATACGTGCTGGTGCTCGTGTCTGGGGGGCCAGGTCGTGCGTGTGGCGCGTGCAGACAGGGTCACATGATATGTCGGCCATCAAGCCCATTTCCGGCACCTGTCCACTGACCGACTCGGACAGCGCCTGGGGCCTGGAAATGGGAAAGCAGAGTGAGGTCGACGACTCAGCGCATTTTCTTCACTACAAACAATCTGACGCGCTTGAAGCTATCATAGTGTGCCAAGGACCGTGGCTTGGAATGTTGCTGACTGGCAAGAAGGCAGCAATGGCTCCTTCTTAATGTGATCTTAGTGACACTCCTTTTCCGTCAGGTCCGAGCCAGGTGCGGCGACACGCCTAGGTGCGGCCCCGGCCCTGCCAGCCCCTTTTGCTGTTGGTTAAAATCCTGGTCATTTACTGTGTGGACCAGGGGGTGGTGGCACGTCTAGGCGCGGGTTCGGCCGTGCCATCCGCCTGCGCCCTCCTCCACCACTGGTCTTCTTGACTCTATCTGGACACCAGGTCCGGGTGGGGAGTGGGGGAGGAGGGAGTGCGATAGATGCTGTGCAAATCCTCTATCATTATAAGCTAATTCACACTGAATTCACCGTCCCTGCTCTCACCTTGCTGTTGTGCACACAGTGGACATCGTCGGCAACGGCGGTCGAACTATCAAGAGTTTGCAACAGATGCACAGAAATCCCAGTTTCCTTCGGTATCCCACCAAATATAATTCAGTAAGACGTCATACAGTTGACGGATATGCGTTTGTTCCGTCGCCCTACACCGAGTTTATTAGGGCATACAAGAGGCTTATCTTTATTAGCCCCTTCTAAATTTGTACAGAACGAGAGTTCCTCATTTCGCGATCCTCAAATGAAAGGTAGGCACCGCGGAACAATTTCGGACCATTTCATTCGCCCGTCACAGCCTGGATGACACTATGCTAGCCTTGTCGAGGTGCGTAAAACAGTCGGCTTGGTTATCGACCCAGGCCTAAGCTACTGCTAGCAGATGCACCAAGAATCTTCCCAAACTCTTCCACGGATAACAAAATCCAAGTGATCACACACGAGCCAGGCAGTCGATCTATACCCACTTGGTCACCGGAACCTCAGAGAGCTTGCCCAAAGTCATCGCTACGCTGTCCTGCCCACTTACCAGCACATGCCGGGTTTCTGCCCGCGGCTTTTTTTGTTAAATCACCATAAGTCGTAGTACCAGCATTGCCAATCATTCTAACTTTTGAAGTCATCACTTTCTTGGACGGCATTTCCCCTGCACTGTCTTCTATAAGAAAGGTTTTATTAATTTACCTGGCTTCCAACGCGCCACTTTGCTACCTCTGTGCTGGTTCACTTGCCGTCCCCTTCCTTCAAACTCTGCCCACGCCAACACTCTTTGAGCACTAGTCAATTCCAATTTAGGATTTTTATGCGCGGATTCCGAAAGGGGACCAGTCCTACGGGTCAGAAAATTGTTTGGTTAAAAGCCCTCGCCCAAAGCTTTCCTTTTATTCAGACTAATTTCTGACTTTTGGATGTGGTAAGCCTGCAGTTGTTCGGAGCAAAGATGCTCATGCCAACTCTGCGAGGAATAAGGATGTCAAAGCTTTTATTAGCCGAGGACACAAAGAGGGCGCAGCAGCTCCAGTAGTAGGTTTGGATTCGCAGAACCCCTCTATCGAATCTGATCTAATACATAGAAAAACTGTTAA